CTGTTTCCTTTGGTGTGCCCTCTGTGAAGCACAAGTGCGAAACGAGGGGAGTGCCTTGTGCCTTTTTGAGCCGTGGCGTGTTTCCACCCTTCAGCAAACGCAAACCTGAAAGGCCTGCTTGGGCGAGTTGCTCAAATCGTGGACGTGCCTTTGGAAGACTCGGGGGAGTGGATGACGGGGGAGTGCACAGTGTACCTGCGACACATGCTTCATGGCCTAGCATCTGCCGCGCCTGTCCACCACCTGGCCGACTACACGATTTTCATCCATGATGATGCGCCGCGACATTTGAAGCCGGAATTCCTCTCCATTGTGTTCAAGAGCTTGGCTATGGGATCATACAACGTTGACTACCTGAACCTGGCGCATGAGCGCTACGTGGCCGCCTCTACTCCTTGTCTGAAGTCACTCTTCAGGACAAGTCAGAAAGGCTTCCTTACATGCCGGCGTTGCAGATTTGTTTCACAGGTGGATTGTTGCAGAAATATCTGACACCTTTGCTTCTTGGCCTTTTCCCTGCCTTGCCAAGCACCTGCACCCTTTGGCCCTCCGCCCCCCAATTTGCTCAAAAGTCAGATCTCCCTTTCTTTGAAGCCAGTTGCTGGCTCCTTTCCTTTTTTCCTTGGCGTGGGACCACCCCTTCGCCCGGTACTTGCCAGCCTCGCAGGATGGTTTTTGGGGAGGACCTCACCGGTCGTCTGTCCACCTACTGCTGCGGCCACTTCGTGGTCAGCTCCTCACGGCTCAAGGATGTGGCAAAACAGGGGTTTGAGTGTTGTTAAAACAATGGACTGCCTTTGGCCTCCTTTTGTGCCAGACTGAAAGAGGGCACCCCTTTTCCCAAACAAACAAACAAACAAACAAACAAACAAACAAACAAACAAACAAACAAACAAAAGGAGCGAGCGAGCGAGCAAACAAACAAACAGAGCAACGCAAAACAGCGAAACGAAACGAAGCGAAACGAAACGAAACGAAACGAAACGAAACGAAACGAAACGAAACGAAATACAACCAACCACACGAAACACACACGCACACACACGCACACAAACCCCCAGGAGGTGCCCCAAAGCCGCCTGGAGAATTTGTGGGCGGCGGTGGCCACTGGGGCCTACACCGCGCTGAAAGGAGGGCTCTGTGAGGCACCTTGGTGAATTGGGGGGCCCTTTCAGTTGGAGTTGGGGCCCTTTTTGTATTTCTTCTTTGTAGCAGCACCCCCCCAGGCAGATCTTGTGACCTCTCAAAAATCGCCATCGGCACCTGTCTCGAGACCCTAAATGGGATTCCCCTGTTGTTCCCTTTGAACGCACAACGCGGTAACTCCGAGAAAAGACGCATAAAGACTACGAACGAAAAGGGCACCAAAATCCACAAAAACGACACTCAGAAACAACATCCGTTTTGGGGGATACCCCCAGTTAGTGAAATAGCCTCCCTTCTGAGAAAGGCTGCCTTTCTATTGTCCATGTTTCCTCATTGATTGCACGACAGTGCTGGATGCATCTAATTATTTGCAGCTGCAAGCAAGTCTTGTTGGACTTCTGTCAGGCACATATAGCACATGCGATTGCGAGCATGTCAGGTGGCCAACATGCCGTGCTATGTGGTGGAGTACCTGTGGCATGCAGTGCTCGGCGAGCCGAACGTGCCGCCGTGGCGCTCCGAAGACGCTCGCCTGCCACTGGCGCTTCGCTACGAGGGAGGCCGAGACACTCGCAGCTTGGCGAAGCTCTCAGCATGGGGTGTGTGCTGCTTTCCTTTGCGTCGTTGTGGAGTTGCTGCAAAATAGGGAGCCCATAAATGGATGTTTTTCTTTTCGGTTGGTTTTGAAACAAACGCCAAGAAGGCACCCTGAAACACAGCCCGATTTGTGGCCGCGCTTTGCGGAAGGCCTGCCATCGCCGCTGAAGTTTTCGCCATACATGCAGGCCCACCTCGCATAGCTGTGGCATCAACAGCTTCATCGCCGCACGTACCAAGGGGGTCGCGAGATGCCCTTCGTTGCGCATTGCTGGTGGTCGCGGTGCTGGTCAGCGTGTCCGGCACAAACTGTGCGGCGCCCTGGTGGGAGAAGCCAAGACGTTCAGTCGGGCAAATGAGTGCCTCAGCCTTCTGCCTGGACGTGGTGCTGTGGGTCGTCTCGGAGCGATTGGAAGCTGAGGGCCGGAACTGGAGAAATTCCAATTCTATTCATGACTTAGGTTTGCACCGGCTGGAGAGGATACAACGTGCCAAGCGCTGGGCGGAAAAGTCTAAAAAGCGCAGGGGTGCCACATTTGCGGATTGGATTGACTACGCTAAGGGCTGGAGGCCACGGGCTAAAGTGGGCACATTGACCATCCTGCGCTGCCTGTTTGGCTCAAGTAACGGCCGGAGCCTGTTTACTGTCCGTACTTCTTTCGGTCCTGAGTTTTGTTGCCGATATGGCAGAAGATGGGCAGGCCGGCCGGCAAGCAGAATCATGCAATTGGCAATGGGGCAAGACCGGGCAAGACTGGAAGCAATCATCACCCCTTTCTGGGGGTAGCATGTTGATACTCTGTGGTGATCAGTTTGGTTGGTTTTCTCCTTATGCCATCCAACAGGGGTGCCTGTTTGACACCCTCCTGGTGGATGGGTGGTCGACCATCCAAAAAACCCACCACGACCAAAGTGGGCCTCGGGCTTCCGCTCACGTCTCACGCCAGGAGACCGAGTTGGTGGACGAAGAGGAGGTGACTGTGGTCCCAGGCCCCGCGCTCCAAGGGTAAAAGGGGCTGCCACAAGTTGCATGCCCCATGCGGTTTTGAATCACGGGGAAGCCGGCTCTTGGTGCGGTTTGTAAGGGGCCTGAAAGGAGGCCTACGTCATTTGGAGCGGGGGGCCCGCCAGTTAGACTTGATCAGGTTGCTGATGTTGCCGCCATATCACCAGAATCCAAACGCAGCATGTTCAGCTGCAGCTCCACAGACCAGTGGCATACCAGCGGGCAGGCTGGGCCCCCGCAGTGTCATTGGACCTGCAGGACGGGGTGGGGGGCACAGGACATACGGAGAAGGACTGGCGCATGTGGGCCAAATGTCCTGGCCCAGCTTTCTGCGACCATACAGCAAATGAGAACGAGGGAAGCTTCATGGAGGACTTGATGCTTGAGCTTTCTCGATCGCCCTGAGAGCACTCTGGAAGACCTTGTTCCTTCAAAGGACAAGTGCTTTCTGTTCTTACCCAGTTTCATCCTCTCCGCTATCATCCTGGTTCATGCTGTTTCCTGGTTTCTCATCCTGGTTGGTTCTGGTGAGTGGAATGAGTGCCATCACCTGCGCGACCTGTGAAAGGAGGTGCCCACCGGCGAGGAGGATGAGGAAGAGATTTACTCGCAGCGGTCAAAGCTGTGCGCATTTGGCGTGGGGCATGCTAGCTGAGACTGGGGTCCCTAACTTCCCTTTCAGGCGGTTTTACGCATCACCTTGTGTGCAAGGTGAGTTTCCTTTGGTAGGGGTGGTGTTTGAAGGGACATATTCTGGGGAACCCATGTGGAGGTACCGATTCAAGGATGGCGAGTGGAAGGAGAGAGGGCTGGGCGACTCCAAATTGCTGCGCCATCGGGTGCGCGCCTTTGATGGTCGAATTTGTTAGCAGGCAGATGTGTCGCAGACTTTGCATTTACTTTCTTCAATTTCCACTGCGCTGGGCGGACAGGGCAGTGGCAAGATTCGCTACATGATGCGGCAAGAGAAAACCGGCAAGATTGTGGGGGCCTGTGGTAGTGACCTTGAAGAGCAGAGGCATGCGTGTGCAATGCTTTGAGGTTGCCAATCACTATGTCTATGCTTTTCCACCTTATTGCGACCTGAAGTTGAACAACGGCAGTGCCCTGTCTTACGAGTACGTGCAAGCTCAGAAAGTCAACGTCTATATGCTGCTGCATCGGCTGTGTGGCTGAGGTGATAAGTGCTGGGTATGGACTACCATGGATTACTCAGAGGAGGGCTGTTTGGGGTTCTTTTGAAGTTGTTTGAGGGAATCTGTTTGCACTTCTTTGACTGGGAAACCAGTGGAAAACATAAATTTTGGGTGGGTGCCCTCTTCTCACACATCCAAACGGGGGGGTTGTTTCTGCTTCCTGCGGAGGACGAAGCGCAGGTGGAACAGTTTGCAGTGAGGCTTAAGGACCCAGAGGTGGCGAATCAGCCGAGTGCCCGGATGTGGCGATTCAGGAATTGTGCCTGGCAGTAGCAACGCTCAGGTTCAAGGAAGCCTTCGATAATGCCAAGGCCGAAAATGCGAAGGCACGGGCAACCGGACCTGAAACCATTGGACCATTGGAATAATATATGATGAATATATGCGGTCACTTGGAGGAATTGCATAGATATAAATCGTTCGTAAGGGGCACGCGAATGTCCAGACAAACGTTTTAGGGGTCGTGTAAAATGCAGGTGTGCGAAGTACAGGAGGGCACATCAAAAGCTGAGCCGGCAGCTTCAAACGAAGCAAAGCCGGCGCCGGCGCCAGCGCCGGAGTCTGTCCGTCACTTAAGATGAGATTGAGTCGACTCCGTGCCGCATTCCACCATTGGGGATGTCCCAAGGCTTGGAATTTTCCGTAGATGGTGTTGAAAGGGAGGGCAAAAGGAAGCCTGCGATTCGGCGATTCTTGTGGGGTGACCATGTCACTTAGCTTGCGTTCGAGGCCGCCAGCCAGCATCGACCTCAGCAAAGTTTGCTCGATGATCCTTTGCATGCAGCCCATGCAGGCCAGACGGGAACCCGTTTGCTGGCCACGCCTTTTTCGAATCCAGTTCGCGCGGGCCTTGAGCGTCACAGTTGTTTGCCTGCACTTGGTGACATGGAGCAAGCTTTTCAGCCATGGTGGGCGAGGTCATCCTCAGGGGGAGGTCTTGCAAGTCACTGGCCCAGCTGATTGCCACAGTTTTGTCTCGATCGGAAAAGTTGGGGTGGCGACTTGCGGCAAATTCGCCCTTCACGGTTTCGCTGCTGTCGCTCTTGTATTGACATGGGCCGCTTGTGCCTGGCGGCCGAAGCAGCAGGAGCAACAGTAGCTGTGGCAGCCAAAAATAGAAAGATTCAGTTTCGGATGGCAGCGGTAAGTGTGTTGCTGGCGCACGTTAGAAGACACGCCAAGATTCAAAGGAGTTTGACAGGAGCTATGGCGAAGGGATGCGAAGGGAATTTATCACCCGAACTTGAGAAGCGCAAGGGCACTTCATCCGGTCAGGCAATCCCAATGAAGATATCAGACGCGTCCAATTGGAAAAGCGGACTACCTAGAACTCGCAACAAGACAAGACTAGTGTTGTGAGTCGTGCGGGTGTGAGCAGCCCTGGTCGATGTAGTCCGTGGGTTCTCTTGATTTTGGGCCCTTGCTTGTGCTTGCGCCGCTGCAACCGCCGCTTCTGTTCCTGCTGATGCCATAGAAGCACAACGATGGTTCGGATGTGATTTTTTGCCAGTGCCAAGGTGGATCATCACCGAGTTCAGGCAAGATGGATTGTCAGCGCTTCGTCCGGCTCAATTTTGCCAAACTTTTGCAATGATGCTCTCCGTGAATAAAGAGTGCATGAACCATGTTCCTGGTATGGCCCCTAGTTTATTGAGACATCATTATTTGTGGCATGCAAAGGAAAGCACGGTTGCCGGAGAGCCCACAATGACCACGCTTCCACACACGTGGGTCCGTACAATCAGCCTTTGATGCACATGAAGGTATGGTATTGCACCATGCAGCGGTGTAGTTGTACAACTGGATATTTTTTTGCGGCAGGCGGCCTGTTCAGCTCTCTGGCGGGTGCCAGCATGCTGGCTGAAGCAAGCGATGTGGTCCCTCCTCACGTGGCCATGTGCAGCCCAGGCACTGGAGGGCTCTTCGGCTCTTCAAGCGGGGGCTCCCTGCCGAGGCCCTATAGACAAGGGGGTGTAGACCAAGAAGGTTTGGCCAACTTCTGTGGCCTTGTAGGGCCTCAACTCACAAACGACGCAGTCGAGAGAAGCAGATGCGGCCACGCCTTCGCTTATTGTCATGAGGTTTGGAAATGGAAGCGCTGGTGGGGGCCTGTTTGGCGGTGGTGGCGGCCTCTTTAGCGGATCAAGTGGAGGACCTTTTGTGTGCTACAACTTCTCTCCTAGTAGCCAGCTCACTGCGCAAGCTGTGAGGACTGACCTTTGACTCCAGCAAGGCTTCAGCTGCGATTGGGTGGATTTGTGGCAATTTCCACGTGTGGCTGGGCTGCGAAGGTGGTTTTCCACCGGCTCAAGTGTTCCGATCGCAGGGGGAGGAGTCAAAGGCAGCAGACGAGGCGACTTGTTTCTTGTGAAATGAAGCACGCAGCCACGCAAAGGAGAATACTTGCAGTGACATCACCTTTCACCGATTGTGCAACCACGTGACAGGAAGGTGAGCTGGTAGACGAGGAGGAGGTCACTGTCGTCCCAGGCCATGTGGTGTCGCCTCACTTACAAAACACTCAAAGGGACAACTCAACAATCTGCGAGGATGGGCGCCAACGGTTTCGCTGGATTTACAGGACGGGCCTTTTGACTCATAGGCCTGCAACGTATCTACTGGGCATATTGCAGCGATGGCCCAAGCATGTGCAGTTGTTTGTGCAAGACTCTTTCGGGTTCCTGCCAGGAGGTGCCCACCGGAGAGGAGGATGAGGAAGAGATTTACACGCAGCGGTCAAAGCTGTGCGCTTTTGGTTTGTGGGAATGCTAGCTTCTGAAATGATGATGGCCCACAGGTACCGATTCAAGGACGCCGAGTGGAAGGAGAGAGGGCTGGGCGACTCCAAATTGCTGCGCCATCGGGTGCGCGCCTTTGATGCTTGAATGTGTGCGCGCGAAGGTGGTTGGTAGGCTTCACTTCCTCTTGCTCTGTTCTCTTTTCCACTGTGATGGATGGACAGGTCACCGGCAGAATTCGCTACATGATGCGGCAAGAGAAAACTGGCAAGATCGCGCCGGCCTCATGTGGCCATGGCAGTCTCAATCTGTAAAAGCATAGTATTGGCATGTTTGTGGTGCTACCTGCAGGTTGCCAACCACTATGTCATTGCTGTTCCGCCTTATTGCGACCTGAAGTTCAACACAGGCAGTGCCCTGTCTCAGGAGTCAGCCGGGCAAGCTTGGAATTCAAATCGGCATGTGGTGTTTGTCCCCCCCAAACAACAACCAAAAATAAAACGCACACACACACACGCAAAAACAAAAGGGGGAAAAGAGAGAAAGCAAACAAACGCCAGCACGTCTTGATTGTGTTGGCCCCGCTGAGGTGATAAGTGCTGGGTTTGGACTAGCATGGATTACTCAGAGGACTGCGCTTTCAAGTTTGCTTGCTGCTTGTATACTAGTTGGTTGGACCCTGCTTCGCTGTTGCAGTTTGGGCCACCATTTCGGGGACCCCCGACTTCTTGCACACCCAAGCGGGTGGTTTCTGCTTTCGGAGGACGACCCGCACGTGGAGCAGTTTGCTCTGAAGTTTAAGGATCCAGAGCTGGCCCAAGAGCCGGATGCCCAGAGCAGGAAAGCGCGAAGCGCGCTTGGCGCTCGGGAACTTGGCGCTGAGGTTCAAGGAAGCCTTTGACAAAGCCAAGGCCGACAATGCCAAGGCCGCTGCTAAGTCGGATGTCTCGGCCGCCTCTGCCTTTGATTGTGTTTGCATTTCGGCACCCCTCCCATTCAAAGCTTGCTACAGAAAACGCAGGAAGTTGGCTGTAGCTCCAGAAGTAGCTTGCTATCCCCCCTTCAATGACCAACACGAGACGCACTATGCTGAAGATGTGTCGGGCAGCACACATGATTCCCCGACAGCGACAGCTTTAGGGTCAATGTTCCCTCCTTTTTCGGCCACACCTTCCAAATGAGGCCATGGCCACGCCTTGCAAACTGCACATGTCAGCCGCCGAACAGCTAGCCAGTTCGGCAAATTTAGCAGTTCACGGGTTCCACGGTTCCACCCATTTCGGCAGTGAACATTTCTTATGGCGAATCTGCCAAGGTCTTGGCGGCGTGAGAGACTTGCTTGATCCCCGCAGTGGAGTAATCCCTTGACATTTGGGGAAGACCGCCTTCGAGATTGAGCGCCAAGGGGGCAAGCCTCGCGCAATGTCTTGTGAATGTGTATCCGCGAATTTCTGCGGTTCTATTCATTTCACAGCTGGCCACGCAGGTTAACAAGTATGTATACACCCGGGGCTCGCCTGAAATCAGCGCATTTCCTACATTTCGGAGGCGGGGGTGTGGGCAATCTGGTGCCAGGTGTGCGAAGTTGAGGCAGTCACGCGTGATGATGACGCGGCTTCGAGCATCATTGAGGCTGTACCCAGCTCAGAGCCGCCAAAAGCCCATCTAGAAGAATCATAGCGACGTGACGAGGGCATGCGACCTACCCTTGAAGGTTCCTTTCTTGGATATGTTTCACCCAGCCGTGCGTTTCTTGGCGTGTTGCTTCTTTGGATTGCGTGATCACAGCCCAGTTCGCCAGCGAGCCGCCTGACTCCCAGACATCATTTCCAGGGAGACCTCCTTTGAGGTCACCCGCTTTTGAGTTCCGCCGCCGTCTTTCTTGTCGCTGGAATCTTGGCATGACCCCATTTAAGCAACTCGAAACCGCAGGTATGACTAAATTTAGTCCGTAGATTCATAGATTTGCATTTAGAGAGGCAGATGGACACTGAGATAAGATGGATAAGATGGATAGATGCTCCCATATATGTATCTACCGGCGTCTATGCCAATGCATATGAAAACACACGTGCATCACTGCACACGCATGTACGAAGGCAAATGCCTACTTGTACATGTGCAACACGTATATATATATATATATATGATTGCTTAGATTGATGCACATGATCCAGCATCTTGGTTTCAGACAGTTGGTTCGAATTCATTTCGCCATGAGGTCTGCTCCAGTCGCTACTCCAGCCACTGGCGCGGCCAGCACCGGTCTCGGTTTGACTTTTGTGAGCTGATTTTACCAATCTTACGTTCTCCGAATTGGCTGCTGCTTTGCGCGCATCTTTTTTTTTGGGGGGGCGGGAAGGTGCGCAAAGCGGATGGTGAAGCCATTTCAAAACTGATGGCTCTTGGTGCATGGTTTCTTGTCCATTTTCCCTTGGGTGGTTGGGTTTATGAAACGGAGGTTGGAGGCAGGGACATGCTATGCCGCGCAAAGGGTGTCTCAAGTGGGGGGACTTCATGGTGTTCTATTTTTCCCAAAAGCATCTCTGATGCTTGGGTTCTGCTTTAGGTTTTCTCTTAGTTGTGCTGCAGACCGGGCGTGCGATGCCGGCTGGGGGTAGACCGGGCGTACGAGGCTGGCTGGGGGGACGGCGGTGTGGGGCTGGCTGGGGGGAGGGCGGTGTGGTGCAGACTGGGTGCGCGAGGCTGGCTGGAAACCGGCCGCGAGCGAGACTGGCGCGGTGGACGCTCGTGACATGCGGAAACCGCCCGCGAGCGAGACTGCCGCGGTGGACGCTCGTGACATGCGGAAACCGCCCGCAAGCGAGACTGGCGCGGTGGACGCTCGTGACATGCGGAAACCGCCCGCGAGCGAGACTGGCGCGGTGGACGCTCGTGACATGCGGAAACCGCCCGCGAGCGAGACTGGCACGGTGGACGCTCGTGACATGCGGAAACCGCCCGCGAGCGAGACTGGCGCGGTGGACGCTCGTGACATGCGGAAACCGCCCGCGAGCGAGACTGGCGCGGTGGACGCTCGTGACATGCGGAAACCGCCCGCGAGCGAGACTGGCGCGTTGGACGCTCGTGACAGGCGGAACACGGCGGCCCGCCCCGCGAGCGAGACTGGCGCGGTGGACGCTCGTGACATGCGGAAACCGCCCGCGAGCGAGACTGGCGCGGTGGACGCTTGTGACATGCGGAAACCGCCCGCGAGCGAGACTGGCGCGGTGGACGCTCGTGACAGGCGGTAGACTGGCGCGGTGGAACGCTCGTGACATGCGGAAACCGCCCGCGAGCGAGACTGGCGCGGTGGACGCTCGTGACATGCGGAAACCGCCCGCGAGCGAGACTGGCGCGGTGGACGCTCGTGACATGCGGAAACCGCCCGCGAGCGAGACTGGCGCGGTGGACGCTCGTGACATGCGGAAACCGCCCGCGAGCGAGACTGGCGCGGTGGACGCTCGTGACATGCGGAAACCGCCCGCGAGCGAGACTGGCGCGGTGGACGCTCGTGACATGCGGAAACCGCCCGCGAGCGAGACTGGCGCGGTGGACGCTCGTGACATGCGGAAACCGCCCGCGAGCGAGACTGGCGCGGTGGACGCTCGTGACATGCGGAAACCGCCCGCGAGCGAGACTGGCGCGGTGGACGCTCGTGACATGCGGAAACCGCCCGCGAGCGAGACTGGCGCGGTGGACGCTCGTGACATGCGGAAACCGCCCGCGAGCGAGACTGGCGCGGTGGACGCTCGTGACATGCGGAAACCGCCCGCGAGCGAGACTGGCGCGGTGGACGCTCGTGACATGCGGAAACCGCCCGCGAGCGAGACTGGCGCGGTGGACGCTCGTGACATGCGGAAACCGCCCGCGAGCGAGACTGGCGCGGTGGACGCTCGTGACATGCGGAAACCGCCCGCGAGCGAGACTGGCGCGGTGGACGCTCGTGACATGCGGAAACCGCCCGCGAGCGAGACTGGCGCGGTGGACGCTCGTGACATGCGGAAACCGCCCGCGAGCGAGACTGGCGCGGTGGACGCTCGTGACATGCGGAAACCGCCGCGAGCGAGACTGGCGCGGTGGACGCTCGTGACATGCGGAAACCGCCCGCGAGCGAGACTGGCGCGGTGGACGCTCGTGACATGCGGAAACCGCCCGCAGCGAGACTGGCGCGGTGGACGCTCGTGACATGCGGAAACCGCCCGCGAGCGAGACTGGCGCGGTGGACGCTCGTGACATGCGGAAACCGCCCGCGAGCGAGACTGGCGCGGTGGACGCTCGTGACATGCGGAAACCGCCCGCGAGCGAGACTGGCGCGGTGGACGCTCGTGACATGCGGAAACCGCCCGAGCGAGCCGAGACTGGCGCGGTGGACGCTCGTGAGCGAGACTGGCGCCGCCCGCGAGCGAGACTGGCGCGGTGGACGCTCGTGACATGCGGAAACCGCCCGCGAGCGAGACTGGCGCGGCGGACGCTCGTGACATGCGGAAACCGCCCGCGAGCAAGACTGGCGCGGTGGACGCTCGTGACATGCGGAAACCGCCCGCGAGCGAGACTGCAGGCGCGGTGGACGCTCGTGACATGCGGACACCGCCCGCGTGCGAGACTGCCGCGGTGGACGCTCGTGACATGCGGAAACCGCCCGCGAGCGAGACTGGCGCGGTGGACGCTCGTGACATGCGGAAACCGGCCGCGAGCGAGACTGGCGCGGTGGACGCTCGTGACATGCGGAAATTGCCCGCGAGCGAGACTGGCGCGGTGGACGCTCGTGACATGCGGAAACCGCCCGTGAGCGAGACTGGCGCGGTGGACGCCCGTGACATGCGGAAACTGCCCGCGAGCGAGACTGGCGCGGTGGACGCCCGTGACATGCGGAAACCGCCCGCGAGCGAGACTCGCCTGCGAGCGAGACTGGCGCGGTGGACGCTCATGACATGCGGAAACCGCCCGCGAGCAAAACTGGCGCGGTGGAAGCTCGTGACATGCGGAAACCGCCCGCGAGCGAGACTGGCGCGGGGGACGCTCGTGACATGCGGAAACCGCCCGCGAGCGAGACTGGCGCGGAAGACGCTCGTGACATGCGGGAACCGCCCGCGACCGCCCGCGAGCGAGACTGGCGCAGTGGACGCTCGTGACAGGCGGAAACCGCCCGCGAGCGAGACTGGCGCGGTGGACGCTCGTGACAGGCGGAAACCGCCCGCGAGCGAGACTGGCGCGGTGGACGCTTGTGACATGCGGAAACCGCCCGCGAGCGAGACTGGCGCGGTGGACGCTTGTGACATGCGGAAACCGCCCACGAGCGAGACTGGCGCGTTGGACGTTCGTGACATGCGGAAACCGCCCGCGAGCGAGACTGGCGCGGTGGACGCTCGTGACATGCGGTGGACGCTCGTGACATGCGGAAAACGCCCGCAAGCGAGACTGGCGCGGTGAACGCTCGTGACATGCGGAAGTTGCCCGCGAGCGAGACTGGCGCGGTGGACGCTCGTGACATGCGGAAGCCGCCCGCGAGCGAGACTGGCGCAGTGGACGCTCGTGACATGCGCAAACCGCCCGCGAGCGAGACTGGCGCGGTGGACGCTCGTGACAGGCGGAAACCGCCCGCGAGCAAGACTGGCGTGGTGGACGCTCGTGACATGCGGAAGCCGCCCGCGAGCGAGACTGGCGCGGTGGACGCTCGTGACATGCGGAAACCGCCCGTGAGCGAGACTGGCGCGGTGGACGCTTGTGACATGCGGAAACCGCCCGTCATGGCGCGGTGGACGCGCGTGACTTGCGGAAACCGCCCACGAGCGAGACTGGCGCGGTGGACGCTCGTGACATGCGGAAACCGCCCGCGAGCGAGACTGGCGCGGTGCAGACGCTCGTGACATGCGGAAATCGCCCGCGAGCGAGACTGGCGCGGCGGACGCTCTTGACATGCGGAAACCGCCCGCGAGCGAGACTGGCGCGGTGGACGCTCGTGACATGCGGATACCGCCCCCGAGCGAGACTGGCGCGGGGGACGCTCGTGACATGCGGAAACCGCCCGCGAGCGAGACTGGCGCGGTGGATGCTTGTGACATGCGGAAACCGCCCGCGAGCGAGACTGGCGCGGTGGACGCTCGTGACATGCGGAAACCGCCCGCGAGCGAGACTCTCGTGACAGGCGGAAACCGCCCGCGAGCGAGACTGGCGCGGTGGACGCTCGTGACATGCGGAAACCGCCTGCGAGCGAGACTGGCGCGGTGGACGCTTGTGACATGCGGAAACCGCCCGCGAGCGAGACTGGCACGGCGCTCGTGACATGCGGAAACCGCCCGCGAGCGAGACTGGCGCGGTAGACGCTGGTGACATGCGGAATTCCCGCGAGCGAGACTGGCGGGGTGGACGCTCGTGTCATGCGGAAAACGCCCGCGAGCGAGACTGGCGCGGCGGACGCTCGTGACATGCGGAAACCGCGCGCGAGCGAGACTGGCGCGGTGGACGCTCGTGACATTCGGAAACCGCCCGCGAGCGAGACTGGCGCAGTGGCCGCTCGTGACACGCGGAACCCGCCCGCGAGCGAGACTGGCGCGGTGGACGCTTGTGACATGCGGAGACTGCCCGCGAGCGAGACTGGCGCAGTGGACGGATCCATTTTCGGATTTCTGCGATTGGTTCTTCATGATGAATCAGATGACTTCGCGCCTTCCACGTAGTGCGGGGCCTGTCATGTTTCACCCGTGCCTTTGCCTTTTTCTCTGTGCTTGGTCAGAGCACAGGCTGCTGCAATCCGGCTTGAGTCGCGGTTGCTCCCCTTCTTCATCTGTTTTGGGGTTGATTTCCCAACTGTTAACAACTTAAATCTTGGTTTGCCTTCGGACCCTTGAGCCGGAAAACAACGGGATCCACATGCCATGGGGAGTGAGGCTGGTTTGCTTTTGGGTTCCCGGGCTCCTCTTGTTTTGGGGGGTCTTCCCTTGCATAGGGTCTGCAGGTGGGTCTCTCATGCACCATGCCCATCTTGGCCCACTCCTTTTGCATTCCCCGCTTTGCCTCCAGGCATGTCCTTCGAGTCGAAGGCCTTGCGAGACACCGGCAGCTTCTTAGTTGGTGGTCTGGATTGCTGGCCACCCTGGTTTGGGGATTTGATTCCCGGTTCCTGTGAAAAGCGGACGAGAAGGTATCACCTTAAGCTCCAAACAACCAACCCAAGCACCGATTTTGGGAAGGCGACGTCACTTGGAACCCATCGAGTGTGTCTTTCAGATGGTGTGTTGGTGCCTTTGGCAGGCGGACTCGCCCAAGGAGCAGGCCCGGACAACCTGGGCGCAGGGACGGGTATTGTGTAGGGTCAGGCGAACCAAAACCTTGTTTGAACCATGGCTTGAACTTTGTTCCTAATGGAAGAGCGTAGCGGTACCATTTGATAAATCAACAACATGAGCCAAAATGGCCTGCCATTTTGGCTCAAGCTTGCCCCTGCTCTTTAGCGAGAAAGCATGTCCAATCCCCTCCACTTGTTGTCCCACTCGGAAGCATGCGCCGGTTCCTTCGACCTTGTGGAGTTGGTGTTGGTGACGGAGGAGGATGAATTGGCGGCGCAGGAGGATGCGAATTCAGGAGCCCGTTTGGTTCAGGTCCGGGCGGTGGCCCAGCGCCCAGTCCTTGGACCTCAGAACCCAGACGGCGGAGCTTCAGGGCTGCGTCACGAAGCTGTCAAGCCTGAGCCGGCAACGTCCGCTCTGCCTACGGGTGCCTTGTGCCCCGGGGTGGAAGTGGGCACGCCGATGCCAAAAACACCTGCGACGGAGGCGACTACTCCGAAGCCGCAAGGCCTCCCGGACGGTGGAAGGGGAAAGCCCACCGCACACGGACCCCTCACCCAGACATGGGCACGGACACCGAGAACGTGATGAGCGAGGACAAGACAGGACACCCCGGATGCAAGAGGCCCTTAGAGATGGCGGGCTTTGTCAAAGGGAGTTTTCCTTGGGACCTCCAGGCGGCGGAGGCGGTTCGCCTCTGGTCAAGGACCGACCGGGCTACGTCAAGCTTCGTTCCTTTCTCCATTGCCAAGCTGCTGAGAGGCACCTCCGAGAGCGAGATGGTGGAGCTGTTCGGGAAGTTCCTCAACATCCCCATGTCGGAGAGGATCTCGATGAAAATCCAATGCCGATAGGGGGAGGTCTGGAAGTCGCGACACCGCCGCAGAGGAGCATCGCACCTTCAAGTGTTGGGGATGCTCCCACCCTACATCGGTTCCCTTCACCCCCCCATCGATCGGCCAGCCTTTCGTCAGGTACCTCAACATGGCACCATCATCGGGTGGGTCCAGGCAAGCATCCAGGAGGATTTTCGGGGGCCGGAAGGAGCTGATTGACGCACACGTAAGGCAGAGGGTTTTTCCCTCTAAAACTGCTGGGCAACGACCGGCATCTGCGCTGCATCCCTGCATCCGTATCGCACGCCCGCCCCGGCTCTTCCCAAACCAATTTACACGCACACTGTTTGAACACAATGGACAGAGTGAGCCGGAGATTCCGGCTTCGGCCCCCGTATACGAGGGTCTGGGATGAGCTCCCAAGACACATCTACGATATCCTGGCAGAGGAGTCCTTCTCCCCCAGACAGACGGACGGCGTGATCCGATTCGCCCACATCTTGGGCGACAGGAACGGCCTTCTTGAAAAAACCATGTGGGCAAGATCCAAGACGCCCTCTGGATGCTGCTGCTAGCGGCCTCATATGCGGCTGTGGGCGGATCAAGTCAACCCTCCGGCGCTGCTCCAACCGGAGCTGCTGAAGTGGCGTCGCTGGAGACCCACCACTCAGCGGGCATTGTTCCTCCAGCGCTGAGATGATCTTCTTGCTCGGGACGGCTGCCTTCCTCTGCCAGAGCGTGCCTTTTCTGCTTGAGCCTCTACTTTGACCATGCCAAAGATCTTGGACATCCAGCGAAGGTTGTTCCAAATTTGTTGGACCTTGTACGGCGAAGCCTCTGCCGCCGCCAAGGCATTCAGGAGGGAGCGGACATCGGCCTCCTTCCAGGGGATTCGGCAGCGTTGGCGTAGTGTGCGGAATCGGGTGTCCCCTAACAAGTGCAGGTTCCGTGCGGAAATCCCCCCCTAACAGCGGGACCAAGTTGGGGATGTGTTCCGCAAAATGAACAAGCGTCTCTGCCCATTTGCTGCGAAGGTGCAGCTCCGGACTGGCCGGGTGCCGCGAGCCCCGAGCGTCGGCCCGGCATTGAGCGGCACAAGGCCATGGACACCTACATCCAGGGGTTTGCCAGATTTCAGGTGGGTTGCAGCACGCTTCGACAACTTGGCGCGCCCAAAGCACATAACCCAGACCTCAGAGACCGTGGAGCTCACAGCTTGGCAGGCTAAGACGGTCTCCACATCCAAGGTCAAACAGCGCCCGGTGCCCCTGGTATGCTCCAAATTGTGCTTCGCAGGCCTGACATGGTGGACTGCATGGTTCAACACCGTGAAGCACCTCGCGGGGAGAAGGCCTTTGTGGACATGGACTACCTGATGCCGACAGTCAGCAAGGACAACACGGGTTGCTCATCCCCATGCCGAGCAGCAGACCGGCAAACCGCACCGGCGACAACGGCGCAAAAACACTCTTTTTCCCACCCCACCCCGGGTAGAGCAATTGACGCCGCAATAGAGCCCAGATAGGGCCTCCATGCTAGGTAGGAATGCAAAGCATTGGCACCTACACACTGCTTTCAAAGGAAAAGGGAACCGTAGGGACATTTTCGCATTTAGTGATTTTTTACCCGTTGGTTTGCCAACCAAACAGAAATTTCGACCAATCCTTTGAGCATGGCTGTCCGAGGTCAGCAAGGCCCCGGAGCCGTTTTCCGGACTGCCCGGGCCCAAGGCTGAGTGGTGGATGGCGAGGCGTTGGAGCCGTCGGAGATGTCAACTTCATTTTTTCAGTACTCCAAGGTATGGTAAACCGAGGGGCGGTTGAGTTCCTCTCCTTGGAAACCCCTGATCCCTGGATATCAAGGTCCTTCACAGGAATGAGCTCCGGCGGCCTGCCATTGCCCTGGTTTAGCAGCCGCACTGCTTGGCACAGCTCGGCATCGGCCGAATTTCTGGCCGAAGTCAAGCGAAACGGAAATCCAGAAGCTGAGGTTGGGAAGTGCGACGGGCGGCCTCTGGGGCAACAGCCCGAGCACTCACAGACAGTTTGGGGTAGCGGTTAGCGTCCAACTTTGAAAGGAGCCGTTGCACAAAAATGGGTTGAACCTCCTTACTTTAGCAGTTTAGCATGCCAATCCTTATGACACGGAATGGGGAGAGGGAGCAGCAGTCGATCACAAGATGGTTGCGCACGCTTTGTATTTGTGATTGTTTTGTTGTTAGTTGTTTTTGGTGTTTGTTGTTGTGTTGTTTGCATTGTTTTGTTTTTGTTTTGCTTCCTTTGTTTGTTGGTTGGTTTGCCTGGTTTGTTGAATGCAGGTTTGTTGGTTTGCTGGTTTGTTGCTCTTGTTGTTTTGCTGGTTTGTTGGCATGCCGGTTTGTTGGTTTGTTGGTTTGCTTGCCTTCTTGTTTGCTTGCTTGCTTGCTTGCCTGCCTGCCTGCTTGCTTGCTTGCTTGCTTGCTTGCTTGCCTGTTTGGGGGCAATCGTGGATAGGGCAGTCTATGTGGCATTTTGCTTTGGGTTGTTAAAGCCATTTGCATCGTCATAATTGTCTTCGCTGCTGTCACAAGGTCGTGACGTACTCAGCATGGCTGCCATGCGAATGGTTGTTTCTGTTTTGGCTAAGGTGCGTCAACAGCGAGCTCAGGCAAGATGGGCTGCTACTGGCTGCATTTGCCGGCTCAACTTTGCCGTTTGCAATGATGCTCTCTGTGCAGGAAGGCATGTTGGTTGTGCAAATGCTGCAACTGTTTACGGCAGGCGGCCTGTTCAGCTCTCTGGCGGGTGCCAGCGCGTTGGCTGCAGCAAGCGATGTGGTCCCTCCCCACGTGGCCATTTGCAGCCCAGGCACTGGCGGGCTCTTTGGCTCTTCAAGCGGGGGCTCCCTGCCGAGGACCTAGACATGGATACATCAAGAGCGTTAGGCCAACTTCTGTGGCCCTGTTTGGGGCCTAAAACACAGGCAAATGAGCCTCAACAAACAAAGGCGACAGGTGACAGCCAATCGAGAGAGAGCAGCCCTCCTTTTGCAGTCAAGGCTTCGCTGAGTGTCATGAGGTTTGGCAATGGAAGCGCTGGCGGCGGCCTGTTTGGCGGTGGCGGTGGCCTCTTTAGCGGATCAAGCGGAGGACCTCTTGTGTGCTGCAACTTCTCTCCTAGTAGCCGGCTGGCTGCGCAAGTTGTGAGGACTGCCCTTTGACTCCAGCAAGGCTGGAGCTGCAATTGGGGGTGGATTTGTGGCAATTTCCGCGCGTGTTTGGACTGCAATGGTGGTTTGCCACCGGCACAGCTGTCCCCAACCGCAGGGGGATGAGTCAAAAGCAGCAGACGAGGCACTACGCAGAGATGATTTTTTTGAAGTGATGTCACTTTTCACCGATGTAGCAAAAGCTGCCATAGGGGCCGTTGTGCAAATCGCAGGAAAATGAGCTGGTGCAAGAGGAAGAGGTCACGGTGGTCCCAGGCCATTTTATGTCACTTCAGTGGAGAAGGGTTGAAGTGGCAAGCTGCGAGGATGGGCGCCAACAGTGTCGCTGGATTTACAGGACGGGTTTTGCATATCCCGGCAGGCCTCTGAATCAGGCCTCATTGACGGACAAATGTGCACTTAGGAACTGAGAACCTTCAGGGTTCTTGCCAGGAGGTGCCTACCGGCGAGGAGGATGAGGAAGCAATTTACACGCAGCGATCAAAGCTGTGCGCATCACGTTGGAGCAAAACCGGCGCGAGCGAGACAGCGAGACTGCGATTGGCAGGTACCGATTCAGAGACGGCGAGTGGAAGGAGAGAGGGCTGGGCGACTCCAGGTTGCTGCGCCACCGAGCACGCGCCTTTGATGGTTGAATGTGAATGTGTGTGTGTGTGTGCCAGGCTTCAGCTCCTGTTGCTCTGTTTGCCTTTCGACAGTGTGACAGGTCAACGGCAGGATTCGCTACATGATGCGGCAAGAGAAAACTGGCAAGATTGCGGCGGCCTCATGTGGCAAGCCTCACATGGCAAAAGGATTGGGAGGCATGTGGTGCTGCAAGGTTGCCAACCACTACGTCATCGATGTTCCACCGTATTGTGACCTGAAGTTCAACACAGGCAGTGCCTTGTCTCAGGTGTCCGCACAAGCTTGGGATTGAAATTGGCATGCGTTTTGCGCATTCACATGTTGAAGCAGTTTGCAGCTTTTGCTTGCGTTGGCCGAGCGGCTGAGGTGACAAGTGCTGGGTATGGACAAGCAAAGATTATGCAGAGGAGCGCTGCTGGACGTCGCTTAAAAAAAAGAGAAAAACGTTCCTCGATTAGTTGAGTCTGTAGGATGAACCGGTGGTGGAGAAGTTCGCTCTGAGGTTCAAGGATGCAGAGACGGCTCAGCAGCCGGATGCCCAAAGCATGGACCCTCGTGGTTGGTTCACTTTTGGTTTTCCTTTGAACCACCTGGCAACTGAAGCGCTCAGGTTCAAGGAAGCCTTTGATTCCGCCAAGGCCCAAAACGCGAAGGCCGTTGGGCGCATCTAGTTCCAATGGCAATTCATGGATGTGCCGGCAGTTTGCAGTCCTAACAGGCGGCCCGCAGTCACCAAGACTTAATTGGAATACGTCTTCGATTCTCTGATGCGCACGGCATCACATGGCCACCATTTCTATGCTTCATGATGGGCCGGCCTCATGGAACCCACACATCAACGGAGTCGTTCTTTTGCTCGAAATCGTTAAACAAAACAAATGCCTTGCAGTTGCCGAGCGCTTGCACTGGTGCCGAAATGCTGTGCCCAGAGCAGCACTATCTCTCTAAGCATTCACCTACCTCCGCAAGACGCCGTTTCGCACTCCCAGGGCGCAGAGGGTGCCCGAGAATCAAGACGATGAGCACTGTTGGCCGTGGTCAAATAACCCGACTGCTCTCAAGCTGGTGGTTGCGACTTGGTGCAACCAGAATGCGCGTCCTTGTTTTGTCCAAGGGCAAACATGGCCACAAAGCCTTATGGCCACAAAGAGCGCAGCCTATACGAATCAAGGTGGCTGTTGGCCGGAAGTTTCCGAGTAGGGAAGATCGCGCGGGGCAAGGTGCGTTCTGCTCACAGGAAGGGGCCCTTCCCAGGGAATTCTTCTTGGAGAGTTTCAGGGAGGCTGCGTCAAACGAGTTTCAGCTTGCACCAAGGGACAATCGGGTGTGTAGCATCCGGAAGGGGCCCATTTGTTAGAACCGCTTCAACGGGTCACCCGACACAAAGGACACTTGCAGGTGATGGATGTTCCCGGCAACAGCCAGGGCTCGTCTGCCTTCCAGTGATTTTTTCTGCCAGGCGGTCGAAGTGGAAGGCATCTCAGAGACGAAGGCTTCATCCGGAGCTGTGCTCGGCTTAGATGGATTCAGGCCAATGCCTCTTGTTCCTAAGGGTTTCAGGTCCAGATGCCAATGCGGGACCCCAAAATGGTGGTTTTGATTTTGGTTTCCATCTCTTTCAGTGAATCACTCAACCATGGAGGGCGCGGCTTTTACCGGGCTTGCCTGTAGCTGTTCTGTGTCGAGGTCGCCAGCGAGAAGCCGGATTCTGAGTGCATGTCTATGTCCCTCGGACTAGTTGAAATTCATCAAGGTGTGTATGTGTGTGTGTAGGTGCGTGTGAGCGTGCGTGCGCATGTGTTTGTGTTTGTGTCTGAGCCTCTGTCCGTGTTGTCTGTGTCTGTGGCTGGCTGTATGTCTGCGTATATCATTCAGCATCTCCTTTCCCTGAAGGCAGCATGTCCTTGCTTCGGGTGCGTTTTCTTTTGTTCGTTTGGCCATGAGGTCTGCATCAAGCGGTGGCATCTTTGGCGATGGGCTCAGGGGCCGGTCAAAGGCGCAAGTCCGGGGATCGTCTGCTTGAGGCTTTCTCGACATCGGGATTGAACCTGTCAACATGGTGCCATCTTTGATGTCAAGGTGCCAGGGTTCCTCCTACCTCTCCTTAAGAATGGGTTCTGTATTTGGATAGTGGCCTTGCTTTTTCACACTTGTCAGCAAGTCATCTAACAAATGTAGATTGAATAGAAACATTCTGAGAAACAGGAGGAATAGGGGCAAGGCGGAGCTGAAAGCAGGGGTGGTCACGGATTGGCCGCCTTTAAGTTTAAGGGTAAAAGAAAAGGAGGTTGTTTAAACAAGGCCGGCTTAGACATGTTAAAACGAGGTGTTGGGCCTGGCTGGAAGTAACTCGGATTCGTGCTCAGGTGGCTCGCCGGCAAGCTCAGGCATGCCGGCTCGCTCGATCATCCACACTTTTGACCTTTGGTTTCCCCCTTTTGGTCAGGGCCCGAAGGATTAACCATCTTCAATTTGTGGATGCTTTCGGCAAGTGAGAAGCAAACGTGTTGTGAAGGGAGCAGCGCTATTTTCCAGGTGGCCTGGAAAGGCCACCACTACTGGTGTTGTTAAAAAGGAACCAAAAGTAACTCAACAATTCATCAGCGAAGCCGAGAAGCAGGGACAGGGTACAGCAAGGTTTTGCCCAATATTTGGAGCTAGCTCAACGCGGATCCATCCGCAGCTCTTTTCATCCAGGTGGCCTGTTTACTTCTTTGGCCACTGGCGGCGGCACTTGGGCTGCAGTTAGGGTTCTCCGAAAGAAACAGGGTCTTGCCATTGCAAAGATTCAGTGCTACGTTTGGGTTCCCACGGATTGCAAGTAGATTGAGAAGATGCAGTGAATCCAGATAATCTGAAACAAGTTATCATGTGAGTCTCAAACTCCGGCGAATTATGGGTCCTTCCCCGTTCCCTTCTTGGCATAAAGGGAATCTGCCATCGCTGCTTTCACAACCCAACAGGACCTTAACTTTGTTTTGACACCTGGGCATGAGGTGGCCTCTTCGGCGGCGCGAGCAGCGGCTCGCTGTCGGCGCCCCAGGTGTTGCTTGAGAACCAACTTCAGGCTTTGAACCATGGTGAGCCACAAGCCAAACCCCGCAATTTGTGGTAAGGTCTGTGCAAGCCATTGTGTTGGCAAGTCAAGAGGGGGTCCTTGTTTGCCATGCTCGCTGGTTCTTCGAGAATGGTTGAAGTTTTCTTTTTTGGTTGGGGGGGATGAACCAGAAGGGTACCCCCTAGGAAACCACAAGGATCACAAGGGATGGTGTCTGATTCTTTACCCGGTTGGGGTAGGCACCCTTGACAGGTTTCAAGACCCTGCTTTGGACCAAAGGGGCAGGGACCAATATGTCGTCGGGGGGGGGGGTGAGGCCCACTGCCCCAGGTGCCTATCCCCGGAGGGAACTGGAACCCTGTGGTAGTTGAGGTCGTTGTTGGTCCCTGAATCTATTCCGGAGAGAGTCCAATATGCCAGTAGTGGATGATTGGAGGATGGATTGTCCCTGGTGGATTGTCTTGTGGATAATCCTGTAAGCGGCCTGCAATGGCTCTTTTGTGGATGGTCGTGATTATGCAAAAGGGGCGCTTGAGCCAAATGTTGCGGGAGATCAATGGTCTGAAAAACAGAACACAAAACAGAAACACATTTCTTTTGATCTCCAGCACAAAGTATGAAATACTATTGGCTTCATGGCCTTTGACCGTAGCCTTGATGTGTGCCGTAGCCATGTGATTAAAAGTGCCGGATTCATCCTTTTTCTGCTTGGATGAAATGTCTTGGCCTTCGAAATGGGACTTCTTTTTGGATACCTAATTGTATCAAAGGGTGATGTACAACGCTATGTACACGCGGAACGATTGTGAAACTATTGATCTCTCACTCATGGTATAGTCTTGTAGACGAGGAGGATCAATCATCTGGATTGTTCGTGGTGCTGAACGTACCTTCATGGTCAGTCGGATCGACGATACCATCGGCGGCTGCTGTCGGATTGACTGCCATGGTCCCCATAATCATTCCAGGTCGAAGTGCTATAGTCCTTCCACTGCTTCTGATGTCCCCACTGCTTGTTGTAGTCCTTGTGCTCCTGCGTGGTCCAGGATGATTGCTTCTTCTTGACGTAATCCTGGTATCTCTCAGAGCTGCGTTTCCTGGTTGCAGACTTGCTGCGGATGTAAACCATGAGAGGACTGTGGGAGTCGGAGTCCTGCGAGCCATTCATGAACATTTCATTGTTCACGTGCTTGTAGCGCTCTGCGGATGAGACCTGGTAATCGAATATGGCCTTGGTTGGATGGTTCCGCATGAATTCCAGTTGTTCATCATCCATACCGTTCATCTCGACCTTCCGGAAATCCTGCTGGATGTTCGTTTTGCCCCATCCAAATACGATAGTCATTATCACATCTGGGAATGTTCGATCAAAACCTGATCAGCATTTCATGTGCGGGTGATGGATGACGGACAATGGATTTCAGGGTGCACGAAGTCTCCATTGCATACTCCATTCTGTCCACGAGTGGCAAATTCTTCGTTGCATTCCACAGTCTCTGATATGCTCTCATGAGGATGTTCACGAGACCGTTGGTCGGATTGTAGACATGCTGGAGTTTGCTGTAGGTGTTCGCCGATTTGTTGGCGTCTCCGGTGATCGCATCGCATCGGTACAAGGTCACGAGCGGCATGATTTCATTCTGAAGATCTTCCTTTGCTGCTCCATGGCTAAGTGAAGGATGGATGTGGAAGACTCCAATGGTTGCGAATGGTAGATCTGCCCTCGTTATGTGGCGGTCGTCATACTCGTGGAATGACTTGTCGGATGATTTCGGGATCATGCCACGAAACTCATCACTCTGCTCGATGTGGAGAACGACGATCTCCTTGTCTCGGCCATGTCCTTGGACAATGGTGCGTGCTGGCAATCTCGATCCAATGTACTTCTTGGGTTCAGTAAACATGGATGTTCCTGTGGTTGCCAAGCAATCCGAGGTCGGAATTTCGTATTCGGGATCAGTGCAATCTCCTTTAGTTCCGAAGAAACATCTGAACATTCCGAATGTGGTTCCCCAATTCTGGCTCCTGGTGGAAATGTGTCTTGCCAGAAGTTCCACTCGTGCAGAGGGTCCGCCGCGGACAAAGCATGCGATCGGTCTGGATGACCATTGCTTGATCACGATGCCCTTGTAACCGTATCGGATGAACGTCTTGATGAGCTCCCTGGATTTCTCATCATTCGGACTGAAGAATGCGTCTGCTTCATTCAGGCATAAGATGTGTGCATGTTCTGCATCATCATCTTGAATCTTGACGATCGGTCGATCCTTCATCGGCATGTTGTACACCTCCCTGTTGTCCGACTTTGGATTCCTTGTGAGGTTTCCATGGTTCAGGGTAAGCATGTTGATCGCTATGGATGAGGTGAACTCATGCATGTTGAGATAGTCCACGGAAGGACAGTCAGTCGGCTGCATCAGCGATCCCAGGATATCGGCATAGGCTCGGATGATTTTCGGGTCATCTTGTGACCTGAGCTTCTTCAATCCAAGCGGTAGCTTGATCGGATATCCGGATCCTGGTTGAGCTTGCCTGTACTCGTCAACGGTGGGACATTCTCCTCGATGAGGGAAGTAGAATTCTTCTTCACCGAGATTGACATCAGGATCGACAAGTGCCAATGAGGCTCTCTCGCACTCTGTCAAATTGGGATGAGCTCTTTTTGGATCTTCGTTGAACTGGTTCATGAAGCGGTTGAGTTCTTCTCTGATCCCCGCGAGCTCTTCCTCTGCGTCCTTTTTGTTCATATCTGTTTCGAGATAGATTCCCTTGAGTTCTTGGATGAACTCATCGGAAGCCACTCCTGGATGCAGCAGGACTGTCTGTCTGCTGATCATTCTTCTGCTTGGCTTGGAAGCCTCGGAGGACCCAGCGAGCCTTGGTCTTCAAGAAGTTACCATCCTTGTCTCGCTTCAGGGTTAGGACCCAGCGACCGGTGACCCAGTTCCTGACCTGAATCTTGCGTGTGTCGACTAAGTCGAACACTTCATTGTCAAGCCATGATTTGCACTCAAGCTGCTTGGCTTCAAGGAATTGCTTCTGATAAGCTCTTATTTCCGTGGCTGTAGCTTCCTTCCGCTTCTTGCCAATGAATGCGGATGTGGATGAAGCCTTCAAAGATTCTTGCTTGGATGAGTACAGAACTAAGAGTGCACGGTCATCGTCGGTCATGTTCTTGCACTTCTGATGAGAGAATCCGCATCGGGGCGATGGGCTGAAGGTCCCTTTTACATGTCCAAGAAGGACAGGGTTGCCTTCGATATCTCTCGGAACCGTAAAGGATCCGGGGTTCGCGCAGATCTTCTGTTCGGCTGTCATGAGTGACCAATGCGCTTCATCTAGAACGAGATCAGCTTGGTGATCATCGTATGATCTGGTCCTCTGAGAGTCTTCTGAATCTCCATCTTCCTGGTCAGTGTATCTCATGGTTCTTTCTGAACTTCCAGTGCCGGATGAGGTCGGAACATGAGGAATCAGCTCTTCCTCACTTTCATATTGAACCGGCAAATTCGCTGGATTGTTCGGATTATAGTTGGATGAAGATGCAGGATCATGTCTGGGAGAATGCTCAGGTGACTCATCATTGTCATCTGGCTTCTTCTTCTTCTTCCCAGTCTTCTGCTTCTTTGATGGACTGCCGGTTGTTTCTTCTTGCGCAAGTGTTGGCAGTTCAAGATCTTCATCTTTCTTCTGCTTCGGGATTTGTAAGAATCGCAGGTGGTGAAGGTACCACGACAGTCGGAAGAATTGGTTGAGATGATTGCGACTGTGACGGCAAAGAGACATCACCCCCCCAGTCGATTGAGTCCACTTGAGGATGAAATGGACTGCTTTTGCCGTTTAAGCGCTGCATCTCCTCCGCCAGGCTTGTCATGTGGCGGTAGTGGAGGATCCACCGGACTGTCTGGCGACACACTGCGTGGTGCTGGCGGGATGGGATGATCAGGCTGATGTGGAGGATCCGGAGGAGGATCTGACATGCTCTCGTCCGGAGGTGTTGGAGGTCTTGGATCAGGCATGGGATGGTCCGGTTGATCAGGTGGCTGCTGTGTGTCAGGTTGCTGAGATGCACCCGTTGGATCCAATGGATCCGTCTCGATGGGCATCGGCTTGATGGCCGGCGCATCGGTGAACGACTCATGAAGGGATGAAAACATCACAGCATGCCACGTCTTCGGATCATACTTCTCCCAATTGCGTTTTGATGCAGGCAAGACCCAAATTCTATTCAGCTGATCAGGCTGCCAGAAGGATGTGATTGCATCGTCCGGAGGTGACGTAATAGGCATATTGATGCCAATGGTGTGGACGTATGCAGTGCATGCATCATACTGAGTGAATGAGATGCACAGTTGTCTCAACTTCTTGCAGCCGTTCCACATGTTCTGACATCGCCAGTCATTAGGATCTTGCTTGAAAATATCAATTTCAGTCCCAGGTGGGTACTGCTTCATCGTCTTCTGCAATTTCTGAACTAGCGGATCTTGAATGACTAATGGTTGAACGTCCTTGTTGAACGGCAGGTCTTGGATTCTGACTGCAAGACTGCTGCTGGTCATGTTGAACTCCTTGTCAATGGCTTCCATCTCCTTTCTCAGGATATCAACCTGGTTGATGGTGAATGGTTCAAAAAGGTCAAGCGGTTTCACCTACAAGTGTCGTAAGATGATGTGCGCAAGATCCCGACAGAACTGGTAAGGATACACCTGTGCCAGTTTGGTTCTGCTTCCGAAGGTACCAGCGTTTCCCTCTAGGGGTTGGTGTTCATGCTTGACTGAGCTGGAAAATTTTTACACCTTCTGAAGATCGGTCTCATACCCTCGCGGATTCAGGATCTTTTAGTTCGTATGCACAGAAATGGAAATCTCCCCAGGTCACGGATGGGTCTGAAAACAATTGCTGCATGCATTTCAGATACCATATCCTGGATGTCTGAGGATTTTCGATAATGAAGTATCTTCTGTGCTTCAACTGATAACGCGCAATGGATGCCACAAATTCAACCATGGGAAGGTAGCGTCTCCGCTTTTCCCCCACCTTTTGCTGGTCTTGCTGGATGTTCTGCATATTTGACCATGGTCCACAGACCGGTGACATAAGGATGACATCAGGTGCTTGTTCCCTGATGATCTCCATGACCATGTGTCGTTCCTTGGGTGTCATTACATCGAATCCTGTGCGGATGTCCACGGGAGTCCCAACCTTAAGACCTGATAGTGCACAGCATTGACTGAATCTGGCACTTCCTGCAAAGATCTCAAGAACGTGGATCTTTCCCTTACGTACACAATTCCAATGTGCTTGTTCAGGAATGGATGTGAGGCCCTCGACGAACATCCGCGATACGGAATGGCACTGAGGATCTTGGCTTAGGAGCTGGTGCGGATGATTCCTTTTTCTTGGTATCTACAGAGGAGCCTGGTTGCTCCTTCTGCAAGGATTCTCGCTCTTCAGGTAACAGAAGTTCAATTCCGGGTTTCCCCGAGGGATGGTCTCATCCTTCCTGAGCTTCGTCATGTTAACCTTGATGAGCCGAGTCCCAAGATCAAGTCCTACCATCGCTCCTTCAATGGAAATGACTTTTCCCTTTAGCCATATTCCTCCCTTGCTTCCATCGGAACGAATCTTGGATTTGTCTTCCTGCCAGTGCAGTAAATACCTTGTCCTTCACCTGAAGAGGCTTTGAACTCATTCGGAGATTTTGAGCAAGGTCTCGTCGGATGTCCTCGGATTGACGTGCTTCTTGGAAAGCTTGCTTTGACAGCTGCTTGACCTGGATGGCTGTCATCTCTTCTTCATTCCTGTCAATCGTCAACTGAGTTGGTGTTGCGACATCGAGTTGGATGAGATCTGCTGGTCGTCTTCCGAATGCGAGCTCCAATGGTGTTACTCCCCCGTAGGTGACGGTCTGATTCCTGACAGTTGCAGCGGCCTTCACTAGCTGCCTGTGGGTCACTTTCTTCAGTGTTGCAGGTGCAGTGCCTGCTTTGATGGAACTTAGCATGATCTTGAGTTGTGCCTTCAGGAGTCGAACTGCTGCTTCAGCTCGATTTGGCCATGGTGTATTCGGTCCCAAGGATATCGGTGTGATGTCAAGGGACTGATAGAAATGTTCCCATGTATCTGTCATGAAGGCTTGATCTGCGACAACTGATTTGGGCTGCAAGTGGTACTGGTCAAAATAGTTCCTGAGGACAGTGATGTTCTCGACTTCTTGCGTAGTTGTCACTGCCTCTGCAGTGAGCAATGTTGTTGCTCCATCCAGGATGACAAAAACAATGATGTGTTCTCCGGTTCCAAGAGGAACTTGACAGTGATCAATGAATGTCATGTCACCAAAGGTGTCCGCTCGAAGTCCGCTTGTCTTGCTTCGTGATGGTGCATGTTTCGCCACTTGGCAAACTTCACACTCACTTCGGATCTTGTCAAATAGATCGAATTTTGATTTAGGCAAATGAAGTGCTCGGGTTCTAAATCGAAATTGATTTGTTGTCATGTGGTGATGCTGCAGGTGGAGTTTCTTCAACTCTTCTGGATTTGACAATCGCTTGTGGATTCTGCCTAGGGCAAGCGGAAGCGATGTTGGTTCTTCTGAGGATGGTGCGAAAGGATCTGGCTCAATAGTCGACTGGCCCCTCTTGTCGATGATCCTGTCTGCTGCCGATCCTGAACCTGCTTCTACGTCCTTCAGCGAATTGTCCGAGAAGGTGAAAATGGTCTTACCTATCCACAGGTTATTCATTGGTTTATTTGCCTGGGATGTAAGTCTCCAATTGTCTTCCAAAATGTCTGGATCTCCACCTGCGGATGCATCAATGATTTCCGTGGTACGTTCTCGGCTAATGTGATCAGGATTGATTGGACATTCCTTGGCTCCATTTGGTGTGAACAGCGCCTTTCGGGGCGTGATGTGCACACGGATGAGCTGCTTGTTCTTCTTGTCAAGGATCCAATGGTCCTGCTTTTGAGACCCAATGATCTTAGGAGTTGCTAGGTCCTCCTTTGTCTCGGATGATTTTGCTGCACAAACAGTTTCGCTCTTGGTGAGATCCCCGGAGGGAAACTTGATGCTGTTATCATCGTCATAGACATAGTTGGTGAGGCCCTTGTGAGCAATTTCTCCATGTGCCTTCACTCTTGCAACTCCAGCGAGATCGACGAGCGCATGTCCTGTACCGGATACTGGAACTGCTTGACGGTTCATGCCAAAGGCCTTGCATGTGATCTTATCACATTGAGGTGTGTGCTCGATGGTCATGTAGAGGTTCCGCATCTGGCTGATGCTGAGAAGGATCGGTACAGTTCCTTGTTCAAGGACGTCGATGTTGGTACTGCACGGAGGAATTGTGTGATATCGAAGATGCAGGGTCCAATTTACCCTGGCGGTCTCTCCGTTTGCAAAAGTGAACTTGGTCTCGGCCGGGATGTACTCATAAGAGATGATGTCCTTCATTGGCTCGATTGCCTGGGTAAAACGCTGGATTGCATGCCAGCTGCCCATAGATCTGGTACATCCATTGTCCAGAATCGCATAGGTCGGGTTGTGCTGAGGGTTGATGACAGGCGCCATCAGCTTTGTTGCAAAAAGGCTGCGATTTGTTGTGACGGACAGATTGTGTTCTGAAACTGTATCTGATTGGATCAGCTTCTCGTGGATGGCCTTTTTCCCAGGATACTCATATGCATCATGGAATGCCATTAACGCTTGTCCTGTGCTGGATGTCTCATGGGATGAGTACCAGCCATGTTCGTTCCATGTCCATGATTGATCCCAATCTTGGTCTGTCCAACCGGCATAGGTAGGCTCTATGGATGGTGCAGTCTGCTGGATGGCGGGCTGCTCCTCCGTCTTCTCTGCGGTGGCTGCGAACGTCTTGGATTTTCCTTTTTCCTGTCCGCTCTTTCCTTTGCCACTCTCATAGGATGGATAACCTTTGTTTCCATCATAGGGATATTGGAATTTTGATTTTCCTTTCTTTCCCTTCTTTCCTTTGCCTTTTCCCCAATATGCCTGGTCGTAGGGATCATAGTTTTCGTTGGCCATATTGGCCTTTCCGCCAGAACCGCTTTTTCTGAAGGGTTTGAAGCCACCTCGTTGGGGACTGCCCTTCTTGTTTCCTGATTTTCCTTTTCCTTTTCTCTTCTTGAACTTGAAGTTCCGCCCCGACACTTTTCTTGCTATGAACGCATGGTTCTCCTCGAGGACCCAGAACGTCTCTTCATCGTTGTTTGACATGAAAGTCCTTCTTCATCCTCAACCCAGAAGCCTTCTTCTCCTTCATATTCACCTTGTTCGATGATGAAGAATGTGTTGCTTCGGTTGCCTCCTTGAGGTCGGATGGATGGATCTTGGATCGATGTCCTCGTTGTGATGAAGAGTTCATGGTAGTGCGTCTTCAGCATCTCATAGGAATAATTCTCGAGTGAGATGTTTCTCAATGACATTGCGCTTGTGAGTCGTTCTCTTTGTTGATCTGACAACTCACTTTGAATGATGAAAAACTGCAATGAGATTTTCCCCGAAGGGAAATGCGTCCCGCTGTCTGTCCTGCATTCCTTGGATATACTGTCTGAGGACTGTAGGATCGTCCTCATTGAGCAGGGCTGGAGGCGGTGCTCGAGCACCGGCTGCTTGCTGATGTCGAGCAATTGTTCTTGCATTTGCGTCCTGAACGGACTGTCGAAATGATGGGGACTGTGCCGTGAAAACGGGCATCAAGTTCATCCATGCTGCCTTCAATCTCATGAGAAGGATTTCGAATTTTGAGGTAAAAATGAGGAACTCTTGGTTCTGTCTTCTATGGTTGAAGAAACTGAGGAGTCTGTACAGATACACGTTGGTCGCACCTTTCAAAAAGTACTTCTTCAGCGTGTTCTTGAAATAGTTGACTCCTTCATATATGCATCTCCTGTGAGTCTACTCTTCAGGAGAGGTCTGCTTCCACCGTTGTGATGGTCACCCAGTCGTCCACGAGTTCTTCATACCTGAACCAGCTGACTTTTCCGTCGTACGATGGCGGCTGCTTGGCGGTCATCGATAAATTTAGTGTTTCCTCCGTATAGCTCGGCTTTGCCGAACTTGTGTAGGCTTCCATGAAGCCTTCTCCATCTGATGACATCCCGCTCCGCTACCACGATTTGAGCCCCAGGTGCCTATCCCCGGAGGGAACTGGAACCCTGTGGTAGTTGAGGTCGTTGTTGGTCCCTGAATCTATTCGGGAGAGAGTCCAATATGCCAGTAGTGGATGATTGGAGGATGGATTGTCCCTGGTGGATTGTCTTGTGGATAATCCTGTAAGCGGCCTGCAATGGCTCTTTTGTCTTCACGCTCGGATGGTCGTGATTATGCAAAAGGGGCCCTTGAGCCAAATGTTGCGGGAGATCAATGGTCTGAAAAACAGAACACAGGGGGGGGGCGGGGGGCAAGAGGTTTGAAGTCAAAGCGTTCACGTTTGGATGGATTTGGGCAGGAACCCACTGAAGGATGGCAACCCCCCCCCTCTTCCCTTCGCGAGGTTTGGCGGTGCTTCGAGTTTTGGAGGGTTGTTTGGTAGCACCGGCGGCGGCCTCTTCAGTGGGCCGGGGGCCCCGATTGGGCCTACCCTCACCAGACTCTCAACTGGATTTCTTTCATAACTTCTTTGTGGGTGTGATAGAAATAGCGCCCTGTTCTTTCACGTTCCAGAAGGACCTTTCATTACAACCTTTGTGCCAAAAAGTGGCTGCCGCGCTGCGGATTCCACTGCCCTCATTCCCGCTCCTCACGCTTCCCGCTAGTTGGCTTGCCCAACCACAAGAATGCCGGATTGGCCAACAACTGGCCGAGCAAAAAGGGGATCTGTTTGGTTTGGAGGTCAAGTGCAAGACCTGAACGTGAATCAATCCGCCGATGAGCCTCTGCTCCAGACGTGGCAATCTATGTTCGCCATCACGCAGACATGAGAGCTGCCATGAGGCTCTTGGTAAAGGAACGGCCGCATGCGAAGGCGTGTCTAAAGGAATGCCGTCCGGCTCCGGCATTCCACTCACTCGCCTTGAGGCAATCATCCGGAGGCCTCTTCAGCAGTTGCGAGCTCAGCGGTCCTTGGTCTGGGTGCCACTCCAGGAGCCCCTCCCAGTGAGTTGGTTTCTCGTCGTCCCCTCTGAGCATCAGACCCATGAAAGAAGCAGTTCCAAATTTGGGCCGCTCACATGGCACACTTTGCAATCAAGGCATGCGTTACCTGATCTTGCTCTCAGGCATGTCCTTCGAGCCCAAGGCTACGTTCTATTCCAAGAGAGTGGCAGCGGGGCGCAACTTCCCTGAACCTTCAAAGGTTCTTCATGTCCCTTCAAACATGGCATGCGGATGGCGTGTTGGCATGAATCTGATGGGTCGACGACCCAGAGCCACCAAGAGAGGATGATGAAGTGCGATTGAAGTGGTTCCAGCCGAAAGGGGTTGACTGTCAGAGGTTATGGCCCGGCAGCATCGGACCACGCCATGGACGGGAGTTTTGGTCTGGCCCGCATCAAGCCTTTGGCAGGTGGAGGTGCAGGTTTGGCGCCCAGTGGCGCAACATGACCTGAAGCCGTTTTGTGTGGGTCATGGACCGGTCTAGCCGTTTGCAAATCTGTTTTGGGAGGGGGCCCAGGATTGTGGGTACAGGAAGCGTGTTCCTTCTGCGCCCGGGTGGTCAGAAGCAACTCCTCGGCTCATGGTGCAAAGGCGCTCTTTATGCCTTTTTTGGGAACACGAAGCAGTAAGCACGAACTAGACATAAACACATGCACAGACATACAGAACCGTGGGCAAACTGCAATGCTGGAATGTAGCGACATCAGCCTCAACGCAGCGCATGTCAAACGCAGCCAGCCAAAAAAGCCGGAACAGGCCCCCCAAAAAGGAGCCAACCGAGCACACCTCCTCAAAGAATCCAAAAAGGTTGGGACAAAACCAAAGTCAGCCGGCAGTGTCATAAGGACAACCTCCCACTCCTTTTGCGCCTGGGCGGGCGCAAACTATCCAGACAGTGGGGGCGTCCATGTCAGCTTCAAGCGCGAGAACCCCCACCCCAAACCACCAAGACCCCCCCCAGCCGCCCAACCCCCCAACCGCCCCAGCCCCGGCATCGTCGCCATGGCCCGCAAGCGGCGCCTCGACGGCCGGCTGGGGGTGGCGGTGGCGGGCGCCGGCCGCGCCGGGCTGCCGCTGGCGCTGGTGCTGGCGGAGCGGGGCCACCGCGTGGTGCTGGTGGACGACGCGGCCGAGGCCAAGGGACCCTCAAGGGATTGGGGTCTGAAAATGCGACATGGGGGCGCCTCTGACTGACCATGTTTCCAAGTTCTGTTTCGCCTTTGATACACCCTCCCCCAAACGGTTCCGGAAAACCTCTTTTCTTGGGGATGGTCGGATCATCACTTCGTTATCATGTGGCCAATCCTTGACATCACAGAAAGCTGTTTTGCTGACAACCATGCGGGGGTTGATTTGGCGCGCCAAGCTATGGGCTTTGCTGTGGGGTCAGCTTGGACAATCCTAGGCTTGAGCTGGCCTCCAAGACTCTGGAGATTTTGGGGCTGGAGGGGGTTCTCCTTGGGCTTTCTCAAAGAGGGGGGGCGGTTGGGCTTGTCCATCAACAAAGGGATGGAGCCCGAGTACTCGGAGGGCACCAAACCCTTTGTTTGAAAGAGGGGATGTGGTGGACACTTAGAGTCCCTTTTGCAGCTCCCTTCTGTAGGGCATTTTTTGGCGCTGCGAGATCGTCACTGATAGTCCCCAGTGTCCAGGCACCAGGAGGGTGAGGGCTTGAGATTGCAGTGCCAGGGGTCAGCCCATGATGCAGTATTCATATTGTATCTTCACAGCATGCGTTGGCGATTCACTAGCCAGCAAGCCCGCGTCACAACAGCAAAGCGCATACAGAGTTGATGGGCGCATGTTTCTTTGTAGCTTTGTAGCTGACATTGATGGCTTAGGGTTTAGGTTTCGTTTCGCATTGCCAAATGGCAGCGGGCACGAGAATCAGCCTGCCAACCCAAGCCGCTCGTGTGCTGAAGCTGGCAGTCGGCGGAAATTGGGAGTTTGAACACCTAGCCGTTGCTGACACCACATGGCAAAACCATGAGCCTGTCTGAGCGGCGTATTTCTCCGGCCGCAAGTTTGCTCTAAGTTGCCTCACGTGTGTCTGGGTTTCAGTAAAATGATCATTACTCTCAGGGTGCTTCTCTCTCTATGGGCCCAATCTGCAGAGCAAACCTCAGACGCTGGGCTGGAGGCGCTGAGGAGAGGGGAGTTCCCCTTCCGGGAGGCTGGGGGGCCGGAGCTGCTGCTGCGGTGCTTGCAGGCGGGCGGAAGTGACGGGAGGTGGGGGGAGGGGGGGTCGCATTGGATTTGTTCGTCGTCTTTGTTTTTGGGGGGGTACGTGGGGGTTACACTGGCCCCAGAGTTTTGGGATGTGGCTGCCCGACGCCAACCAGACAAGTGTATAAGCTACCCATCAGATGTGCAGAAGACAGTGATAGGATTCTAGGAGTTGTGTATTGCAAGTGGGGATTGCGCCCCCCAATGTCCAAATGAACAAGGTTGATTTGGGAATGCCCAAATCGGGCAACTTTGTAGTGGGTGCAATCTGGATGGGTCGAGCTTTTGCCCTTTATGGGGAATGGGAAGGAGGCATTGCGCGGCAGACATGCTTCTTCAAAGCCGGCTGCTGCGCACATGCTCTGAGCTAATTTGTGCCTTGCTAGTATCAGTCTCAAGACAAGCCTCACATGTCAGTTTGAGAGACCTTCCTGGGATCTTTAGCTTTAGCTATGATTCCCACCGAGGTTTTGGAGGGCTGGGCGCGGTAGGGAGATGGTCGCACCAGGCCTCGCGACGGATTCCTATTTGGTTTGCTTTGGGATCTCTCTACTTTCAGGTTACCGTTTAGAGCTTGGGCAGTTTCTGGATGCTTTGGCCAGATGTGCCTGGGCTCGGCCCTTCTTTTCGGGGAGCCCGCCCTGCAAGTCCCTAGCTCTAATGCCCGTGACGTCTCATTATTCGGCAAAGACAGCTTGGAGTGCCTGGCTATTTTGGCCCAAATGTGGCTGGCTTCCCACGCCTGCACCAAAGATTGGCAAGGGGGCCATACCTCCCTTGGCCTTTAGCGGCTCCCGTTTCTCCTTTTTCATTGCCGTTTTAAGGTGAAACTGGGAGCACAGGGCTTACGGAAATGGTGAAAGGCAAGCCGATTGCACACATATCCCATACCTAAAACAAGCAGAACAACACATATCAATCCCACAAGCTTTCCCAGGGCGACGTCTCTGGGTCCCT